TTGAGCAAAATCAAGACGATTCAAATAATGAGAACGATAACAATAAGGAGACAGAAACATCATCTTCTGTTGCTGCCAATTCTGATTCAACAGCAATTACCACAACAACGTCCACGGGGAATTCAACAACACAGGAAATGACAAACACTACAAAGAATGTCTCAGAGACTACAACTACAACAAAGACGACCACAATGGCAAAGAATGAAACTTCAACAACTTCGGCCGCAATTAATGAAACGGGCACCACGGTAAAGCAGTTTAATTTGGTTTTTGACAAAATATTAAAAATAGTTTTGGTCCTTTCCTCCATTTAGTCTTCCTCCTCCATCCTCCACTTTTTTGGTGTAAGTTTAATTGAGAATGATAAATTGAGAATTAGAAATGTTGATTAGAAAGATTTTTTTTATTTTTCCTTTAATCATTTTCAAATATCAAAAAGATTTTAATAATTTCTCTTCAGAAACAGGGAAACTTCGTAGATGAAAATCCAGATAAAGGTGAAATGGATCCAACGACAAAAATGATCATTATTAGCGGCAGTGTTGTGGGAGTAATTGTTCTTGTCTTAGTTTTGTGGTTGTGTTATTGTTGTGGATTATGTTCCTGTATTTGTCGTCTTTTCTCTAAAGTGACTAAAAAACGGGTTAAACAACAACAATTTGATATTGTTGATTATGATCCCAAATATCCGTTTTTTAAACCAAGAAACTTTAAAGGAAAAGGAGCGATAATAATTCAAAAACAGATGAAGGTAGTTTTTTTGAAAGTAGCCTTTAAAGTTTTGTTTAAAGATTCCAGAAACTCCAACGGATAATCAAGTATTGCCTGCAGATCTTAATGATGTAAGAATTAACTACACCAGGAAATTGTGTGCTGTTTATGAAGTTGGCAGTGAAATTGTTGGTGTTTATTAAATTGTTAAATTGAGGGGGGGGGGGGGGGGGGGGGTTGAGAAAGTGAGAAAATTTGGAGAAATAATTTTTAATTTTAAAGGAATATGTTGTTGATGAATTCGAAAGGCCAGTCAAAGACAGTCCTCGTACCAAGTGGTTCAAAACATACGAAGCAAAAATTAAAAGGGGTGATTATGAAAGTGATTTAAATGATTCGGCAGCTACAACAGACAGGTAGTTACATATTTGTTTTTTTTGAGAAAACTTTTTATTTTAGTGAACGTGGAACGGATGTTGAACGGGATGGGCCTTCGGAAGAAGATTCGAAATGAATATAAAGATAATAAGTAAATAGATAATAATAAGTAAATAGATAAATAATGTTTAGATAATTAGTGTGTAATGGTACATGTTTGTATATATATAAATAAAATAATAAATAAAAATATTTGAATAATTTCTCACATGAAGGTACATATATCTTTTTTAATTCAGAAAAGAATTAGAAAAATTAAGAAAATAAGAAAAATTAAAAGAGTTAAACCCCCTCCCCTCCCTTAATTTAATTTGGAGATTTTGGTAGAGTTTCTAAAAAATATAAAAATTGAATAATCAGAAGTTGCCAAACTTTTTTTTTATTTCAACTTACGTTTCTTATTGTTTTTGAAAAAAATATTGCAAAGATTTACTAAATATGTTTGTTAGTCGAGAGATTTTCTTATCAGAAAACACTCGTTTTAAAGTAACTCAGTTTGAGATACACCTCTATAGTATAAAATATGTATTTTTCCAGGACTTATAAATTAGACCAGCGTTATTCCTCTAATATAGCACACAATCAGAAATTGAGATTTTTTAAAGAAATGCTCCCTCTCCAAATAAATTATTTAACTACATAATTTATTTTAATTTTATAAATTTTCCTCAATTCTTTTTATTTAATAAAATTCGCACTTTGCCAATTCCCCTTTTATCGATTCCTCCATTTGTGCCAAAGCTTTGTGGCCTCCTTTCCTTTTGCACATATTTAGAGTATTTGTATTGAATGAAGTAAATAGTAGTAGATTTTATTTATTTATTTAAAACTACTGCCAGCCATTAAAGGAAAGGAGAGAAACAAAAAGAAATAAATGACAGATTTACTATTTTTCTTTAAAAATCCCCAAAAATGACGCGTTGAGATTTTTAAGGAAATGCTGGTTTAGAATAATTTTTAAAAAGAAATCGAGACCACCAAAGTGTTCCCTAGAGAAGGAAAACGTTCGTCATTTATTTTTTTATTTTAAATAATTTTTAGATGAAAATAAATTTAAATTAGTTTTTTTTTGAATATTTATTTTTTAAAAAATCTTTTTTTTTCTTTCTGAAACTTTTAAATTTATGACAAAGTTTTTTTAAATTTCTATGGCAACTCTTCCACTACTATTTAATTTTGTATCTTCTTACATGTTTTTATTTCAAAAAATTTTTGAATAATTTATTTTTAACCTTTTTGATAATTAAACATTTAATTTTTATCAAAAAAATATTTTTATTTATTTATTTTTAAGAGAAATATACTTTTATAACGAAATATTAATTAAAGGGTAGAGAGTAATTTCCCAAGAGGGAGATTTTAAAATAAAAATAAAGTCAAAAATTAAAAGAATTTTCTTTCTCTTTTTTTCCTATAAAATGATTATTTAATATGTATTTTTATAAAATTTATTTTAAAATTTTTATTCACTCATTTTAAAGTATTAAAATTGCTCTTTTCCTTTTTAAAAATTTTCCTTTAAAAATTATTCTCGAATTTCATACACTTTAAAATAAACTTTAAATTTATACTTATATTTTATTTTTTTAATTTTATCTTGATAAAAAATATTTAAATTTTTAATTTACAATAAAATATACTTTTCCAATATAAAATGCCATAGTTTTTTTTCTAAATAAAGAATAAAACCTAGTATTTCCTGTTTCTGATCTGATTTAGTACATTCCTCAATGATAAATTTGCGAGATTTTTTTCGATATTATCGATTTCAATTATCGAAAAACACTAATAATGGCAATTTAATTAGTGTTCAACAGAAGTTCCGATTTCCGATACCTCTGACTGTTCCGACCCACCTCTGGTGTTCACGTCAAGCCTTTTTATTACAAATAAATTTATGTATTAATTGTTTTAATAGAATATCAATTCAGGCTGTTTTTTTAGATATTTGTCCCAAGTAAATTCTAATTTTCTTATCTTTTTTTTTAAATTTCTTATCTTTAATATAAAACAATTCAACAGTTTATTTATTTTTTATGAAAAATTTTTAAAAAAATATTTGAGAATTTCCAAAAAAAAAATAAATTTTTCTTTTAATATTAATAATTATTTACTTGTTTTATGTATTTTTTTTATTTGTTTTTATTTTCTACCTCAATTCACTTCCTTTCATTTTTATATTCACATTTTTGCTTAATTCATTTTACTCATTCATTTTTTATTGGAATATTTTTGTGGAGGGAACGGGAGAAAAAAATTTTTTTGGAGGGAAAAAATAGTACTTTTTCTATATCTTCTTCTATAGACGTCTTTAAATATTACACAATTCTCTATTGACAAACTTGGTATAGAAAGGGAATTTATTTGTATAAATTTATTTAAAATTTGGAGAAAAGAAATATTTTTTAAACAAAATTTAAAGCTTCTTTGGAATATTTTTTGATTTTTTTTCTAAAAACTAACAGTTTCTCTCAATGTATGTATGAGGCAATTCTTTGTGGAATTAACAATTCTATAATCATTTTATTTGATTATATATGTAGTACTTTTCCGTTATCCATACCCCCTTCTTGCGGACTTTTTTGCGGACTGCCTTATGTAAAGAATGGTCAGTCTCCTTCCTCCTTCAATTTTTCAGTAGTAAGGCAGTCCGCAAAAAAGTCCGCAAGAAGGGGGTAGGGATAACGGAAAAGTACCGATTGCTTTTGAGAATTTCCTTGCTAACAAGCTAACTAATTAAAAAAAGAAACAAGGTATTGACTGTATATTTATAGAATTAAAGAGAATATTTCAACATTTATACTTATGTATAAAAACTTTAATATTTATTTATTTATCCAACTCATATTTCACTCATTATTAATATACCAACCAACAATTTGTTCACAAATTTTCCATTTTTTGTCTGTAAATTTTTTCCCTCTTATTTATTTTTCAATGGATATGCTTATTTCTTTTATCTTTCCAACCAGCCCTCTCTAAAATATTCTGCCCTCGAGACTGTCTCGAAATATTGAATTTTTTGTCTTTTACTTCTTCGCTAAAGTCTAAGCCTTGCTTTCTCTTTTTTTTATTTTTCCATGCCGTTTTTAGTAGTTTTTACAATTTCCGACAGCCATCACCCTTCGGCGTTTGTCATGGCGAACAAAAGAAAAAAGGCAACGTGTTCTTTTTTTTTGCAAGTTAATTTAAATAAATTTTTTAAAACTTTAATTTTAAATTGTTTTGTCCAATTCTTTTTTGATTTAAAAATTAAATTTTAACTTTTTAAAATATATTTTGTAATTTACCGTATAACCTGTATTAATTGACCCCTCCCCCTTTAAATAGTTACCCCATTTCTATTAATTACCCCTTCCAGTTGAAACAAAAATTGCCCCTCGTTAATTGCCCTCCCCCGATTAATTACTTCCTCCAACGGAAGGTCGAAACCCAGGGTAGTTATTAAAAGTTTGCCTCTCTTTAACACAATTCAATTTATGTATATAAAATATTCTAATTAATGACTGGAAATTAAATAATAATTAATTTAGACACACCTTCCTTCGTATTCTTATTTTTGCTTAATTTCCAAACTTAATTTTATTACTATAAATAAATATTTATTTGTTACTATTTTCAGAATTTAAAAGCTTTTACTTAATTTTTTGTTAATATAATTTATTTTCTAAATACGTCCAACTTGGATATATTTTATATATAATTAATAATAAAATAAAAAGAAATTATTATATAATAAATAAATATATATTTATTACTACATAAATTTATTGGCATTATTAAAGATATTATTTATTAAAAACACGTTAAAGAAGAAAGATATACAATTTTACTTAAAATTTTAAAAACGTCGGATGCTTGGGGCATCATCAAGTAGCGAAGAGGAAGACGATTTTGTTGCGAATGATAATGCTTCTGAAGTTTGATTTTATATTTAACTCACTTTACCATATTGAGTGAGAGAAATGCCGTAACATGTATTTAACTATGGCTAGTCCCTTACTCTCAATTCATTTCACCTTTTTTATTTAATGAGGAGTTTTACTTAAAATCGAACCCAAAATTGTTGTACTACAATATAACTTTTACTCATTAAAATATTAACAGATCGCATCAGGAGTCGGCGGTCAATTTCGTACAATCCAACAAAACCATTTTATTAACCAACAACAACAGCAATATCCTGGTGGCCTTCGTACAGCTAGTCCGGCATTTAGAACAGAATCCCCAGCCTCCTCAGACCAATCTTCTTTTGCAACAAGTATTAGAAGAAGTGAAAGCTCAAATGTTGGGAGAAGAACAACAGGGGGTTCAACTCCACAACCCAAAGGTTCTTTTAGAGCAGGCGGAGTAAGTGCTCTGGGTAGACCTACAACACCTAGAAAGGTTCTTACGTTAGGAATTATGATTTTAATAGAAATAATTTTTAAGCAAGGAAGTTTTCGTTCAACACATGGAAGGTCTGTACTTGGTGGGAGAGAGGGTTTTGGTGGTGGAGGTGGCGGGCCTGATTCAGCTTATTCTCCAGCATTCGGACATCAAAGTTCTCAAGATTTGTTTACGGATGAAGAGGATTTGGGAGAAGGGGAAGATGATCCACATATTTTAAATGGAGGTAGTGGAATGCTTACTAAAGAGGAAGAGGAAAGGCTTAAAGCCGAGGAAGAGGAGGAAGACAGGAAAAGGTTAAAATAAGAAGAGATTTTTTAAATTTAAATTAAATTATTATTAAAATTAAGATGCCTTCAACTTTATGTATTTGTAGCTAAATGTATAGCTTATCACTTTAATGCTAAACAGCCTACGGATATGGCTAGAAGAAGGCTAAAAGTTTGTGTTTTGAATAAATTAATTTTAATTATTGATAATCTAAAATGAATATTTGAAAGAGAAACTTGAATTCAAAATTAATTTTTAGATAACAAAATCAGAATTGTCAAGAATAAAAGATCGTTTTAACGGCTTCTTAAAAGGAGATATACAAATTCCAGCAGACGAAGCATTTACTAAAGCTATCGAATCTTATTTTGAAGTTTTTCTAAAATCGGAAAGAGTTGCTAAAGTAGTTCAAGCTGGGGGATTTGCTGCAAATGATTTTAGAGAAGTTTTTAGATGTAATGTTGAAAGAAGGATTAGATCTTTGCCTGAAATTGATGGATTGAGTAAAGATACAGTTTGGAGACTTAAAAAATTAAAAAATAATATTAAAATAATTAAAGGTTTTGGCTTCTTGGATGGCCAAATTTGATTTAATAATGAAATGTGATGATGATACTGTACAGACTAAACAAAATAGGTTAAACAAAATAAATTATTTTTTCTAAAAATAATTTAAATAATTTTTAGAGGTAGATTGAGAGGGGCAAATCAAGTTATTGCAGACGTTATAATGAGTAAAGAACAACTTTATGATATGTTTCAACAAATTTTAAGTAAAACATTTATTTAGAAATTTAATTTAAAAAATTTAAATTTGTTTAGAAGTTAAGAAATTTGAACATCAAATTATTTGTAAGTTTTTATTTTTTGGTTATTTTTTTATTTAAAAATTAAAGATAATGCCCTTCAATTGGATAATCCTGATGAACAGGCTGCGGCTATTCGAAGGGAGGTAGCAACTAGAGAAGAAACTTTGAGGGATATTCCAAGGGTATTTCCCCCAAATAATTAAAATAAATTTCTAATCTTTAAAGTTAAAACGGGTAATGCCTAAATTCGTCGTAAAAGATATGGATACACTTTTTATTGACGAAGTTCGCCAGTCTATTAATTTGCTCATCTCAAATCTAGAGTCTGTGCCTGTAGCACCAAGACAAACTTTGGGGAGGAAAAAGGAAAAGAATAAAAGTTCTAGGTAATTTTAATTTTTTGGTTCTGGTTTAGGACATGTGTCTTATGTGATATATGCGACCTATGAAAATTTATGCGTCCAAATAAATTAAAGTAAATATCATAATGAAAGTAAATATTAGAGTTACAATCTGGTATTTTTTGTAATTGTAATGATTAGTGTATTAATAATTACGCATTTTATTTCATGGGTCGCCTAAATTCCAAAGAAACGCATGTCTTAAACCATAGGGTATTTTAAATTTAACAAAGCAAAGTTTAAATTGATAAGTCATTGGAAATAAAGTTGAAACTAATGATTTTAAAAAATACACACCTTTTATCAGAGAAATTTAAAGTTTTTGTTTGTAAATCCAATTTTTCTCTCCTTATTTTCCAAATATTTTTCTGATTTTTTAAATTCCTTTATTATTTTCTAATTGTTCTCTCCTATGTTTAAATTTTTTTATCAATTTTGTCAATTGTTTCGTTGCAGGTCTCGCAGCATTGAGGATCTTTCTCTCTTCAACAGGTCCTCCAACATTTTTATTTGTTTTTTTTTAAATTCTTTTTTAAATTCTAAATTTGTTTAAATTAAAATTAGAGAAAGAATGTGTGAAAAAGTTGTTTTTTTATCCTTATTTTTTCTTTTAAAATTATTTTACTAACAAAATTAAATAAGGAATATAACAAACATTTATTTAGAAATTGTTTGGGGTATTTTTTCAGGAAAGAACATTTTTTGAAAATTATTCAAGAAAATATAAAGAAAAATTAATAAAAAAAAGTCTTATCCACCCCCCCCCCCCCCAATTTTTAAAAACAATTAAAACAGAAAGAATTTTGATTTTAATAAAATAACAAGAACATTCCTTCCCCTTTTTTAGTTTAAAAAGAAGAACAAGTGCAATGAGTCTTAATAAAAATGGAGAGGGTGATGATGAAGTTCATTTAAGTAAAAACGATGTAGTCCTTTCATTTAATATGGAGGTATTTAAATTTAAAACTAAAAATTATTTAAAATAAAAGGTTGTTGTAATGGAAGTTCAAGGACTAAAATCTTTACAACCAAATCGAGTAGTTTATTGTACAATGGAAGTTGATGGATGTCCAAAACTTCAAACAGACCATGCCGAAGCTTCTAAACCTTCGTAGAAAAATTTTTTAGAAATAATTTAAAAAATTATTTTCTAAAGGTGGGATACTCAAGGAGATTTTTGTACAAAACATCCATTACCAACAATTAAAGTTAAATTATATGCCGAAGTAAAAAACATTGTAGCTTTTGAAGACAAGTTTTTAAAAAATAAATTAATTAACATAATTATTATTTTTAAAGAGAACTTGGAAAAGTTGTAATACAACCAACACCTAATTGCTCTAGACAACCTGAATGGTATAAAATGACAGTTCCAAAAAATAGTTCTGATAAAAATTTGGGGTAATTTTGGAAAAGGAAATTTTTTCTAAAAAAGATTTTAATTTAAAGAATCAGAATTGCAATTCGTGTTGAAAAACCTCCAAATTTAAAAACTTGTGGATATTGTTATGGAATTGGGAGAGTAGCTTGGAAAAAATGGAAAAGACGGTTTTATTGCCTTGTTCAAGTATTAAATTATTGTTTATTTAGAAATTTATATTTTAATCTATGTAAAATTAAGGAAGTAAAAATTAGGTAATTCCCACAATTTATGATATGCATCACTTGTAAATTTTTGAGGGGGAAAAGGAATAAAAGCTGAAAAAAAATAAAATGTTTTGGAGTAACAGATAATTACCTAAAATTATTTTTAAGATCTGTTGTAATATTTGTTTCTAATATTTTTTAAACCTAATGAAATAAATTCAATTAAGTAATTTAATTAGGTATCACAATATGCCTTCGCTATGTGCAGTTACCGTGAGAAAAAATCTGAACCTACAGAATTTGTCCAATTAGATGGGTTTACTATAGATTATGTACCTGAACCAGATCCTGGTAAATTTTTTATTTTTTAAATAAATTTATTTTAATTCTTAGAGCTTTACAATCAAGGCGGAAAATATTTCTTTACGTTAGTTTTTAAATTTAATTAATTATTAAACTTCAAATGTACTTATTTTTCCTTTTAATTTTTAAGGGCTATCAGAGAAGGAGATGAATTAAAATTTGCAACGGATGATGAGAATGAAAGAAATCTTTGGGTACAAGCTTTGTACCGCGCAACGGGACAAGCTTATAAACCTGTGCCTCCAAAGCAATCTGTATTAGCCTCAAAAACACAGGGACTACAAGATAAAGCTTCAAAACATGGTGAATATATAAGAGTTTAGGCATTACAAGTATTTTGGTCTAAAATTGAGGGGAAAATGATACACATAAAGGAATCTAAAGGGATTGATGAGTAGATAATAATTTCTTGAAAAAGTTAAAAAAAAACTATGCTTTTAGAGGAAATATTTTAAATTCCTTTTAGGGAATGTTGAATAGAAAAGGGATTAAATTATTCTCAATTAAAAATAATAAAATAATTTAAAGGTTTGGATGAATTAATCCAAGCAGATCCAGTTCAAATGGCTCATGACCATTTATTTGCTAAATTGCAGAGTATGGCCTTAGATTATAGATTAAATGACCCAATCTGTTCTTTGGTTAGAAAATTAATTTTTAAAATTTATTTTTTACAAAAATTAAAGGGTTGGTTTTCTCCCGGTCAAGTTTTTGTATTAGACGAGTATTGTGCTAGATATATGGTTAGAGGATGTCATAGACATGTGTCTCTGTTAAATGATTTATTAAATAAAGCAGATGATGGGCATTTAATAGAGCCAACTTTAATACATTATTCTTTTGCTTTTTGTGCTTCTCATGTACATGGAAATAGGTGAAGAAATTGAAAATTAAATTAAAATTTGCGACTTGGACGTGAAATAAAAGTTTAAGATTTTTTTTCAAAGAAATAGAATTTTAGAAAGTGACCTCGGTATATGTATAATTAAATAACAAAAAGTTTAATTGGGAAAAACAAAAAAGTTTCTCTCCTAACTTTAATTAACAATTAATTTTTAATTAATTATTAATGGTGGAATTTCTTAGAAAAAATTTTTTATTTAAATAACAAATAATTAGTGTACACCCCAACATAGGTACCGCGAGTCAAACTTACCGCAGAGCTATAACTTCGTCAATGATGGTCGAATCCGGGACGCATTGGTATGATTCGATTCAGCTCGTCGAGGCGCATCAAACCATGCCAGGGCGGCCCAGATCCGACAATTCTGAACGAAGTTATAGCTCTGCGGTAAGTTGGACTAGCGGTAAGGTAGCCTGCTCCCAAATAATTAAAATTATTTTCTAGACCAGATGGTGTAGGTACAGTTACATTAGAAGAAAAAGAACACTTTCAAGAAGTAAAAGAACGTTTAAAAGTTTTATTAGAAAAACAAATAACCAATTTTCGGTAATAAAAATTTAAATTAAAAAAATATTTTATTAATTTTAAAGTTATTGTTTTCCTTTTGGAAGACCAGAAGGAGCACTTAAAGGAACACTTTCTTTGTTAGAAAGGGTTTTAATGAAAGATGTTGTTTCTCCTGTTCCTCCTGAAGAAGTAAAATATAAATAAAATTTAATTTAATAAATAAATTATTTTAAAAGGTTCGTTCAGTAATTAAAAAATGTTTGGAAGAAGCAGCATTAATTAATTATACAAGAATTTGTAATGAAGCTAAAATTGAACGTAAAATTTTAATTAAATATTAAATTAATTTGTTTTATTTAGAAAGAATGGGTGTTGATATAAGTCCACAGCAAAGAATAGAAGATATGATTAGAATAACTGAATTGTGTATAGACTTGCTCAAAGAAAATGAAGAACATCATGGAGAGGTAAATTTTATTTTAGCTTATTTCGATCAAATCCCTAATTTATTTTCTACTTTCTGAATTATCCTCTTGCTTTTCTATTAAATTATTTTAAATGCTGGATGCGATAAACGGCTCGTGGTTTATTAATTTTTTATACCGGCACAATTCTAAAAAACTTAATGGTCCAAACAATAGAAATAAGGGTCACGGGTGATGAAGAATTAGTTATGATAAAAATAAATCACATCCGGTATTTGTAGCACTCACATGCGTATAATCAACTAATTTATTTAGTAATTAAATTATCTTAATTTATTTTTCTATTTTCTGCAATTTCCCTATTTTTTCTAAACTTTTTTTATTTTATTTTTCCAAAACTTTTCTTTTCCCTATATTTTCCATTTCAGCAATTACGTGGTGCTGGCGAGTTAAGTTTTAAAAATTAATTTAAGGATTTGTTGCTTTTTTGCTTATTTTGCTTTTCTTTTTTTGCTTATCTCTTTGCTCTTTTTATTTGCCACAATCTTTTTTATTTCTATTTATTAATTTAAATTTAATTTTTTAGGCTTTTGCCTGGTTCTCTGACCTTTTGGTTGACCATTCAGAAATATTTTGGACTTTATATTCTGTTGATTTGGATGCTGCTTTAAAAATGCAACCACCCGATTCTTGGGATGCTTTCCCCCTTTTTCAATTGCTCAACGATTATTTATGTACAGATACAAATTTAAGAATGGGACCTTTTCATAGAAATTTGGTAGAACAATTCGAGCCGATGGTCAAACATTATATTAATTTAATGGAGAATAGTATTGCTTCTTCTATTGATAAAAACTTTCAAAGAGAAAGATGGGAAGTTAGAAAGTAATGAGTTTATACATATTAATTTATTATAGCAGTAATAACCTTCAAATCTTAATAAATAAAAAATAACAATTAATTAACTGGATAATTTCATTATTTCATTTATCTCAAACCCTATTTATATTTCAATTAAATTTAATTTTAAAAATATTTAAGAGATGGTTGTTCAACATCAGAAGATATTTATTGGAAACTTGATGCCTTACATGGTTTTATCCAAGATTTGAATTGGCCAGCAGAAATATTTGCAATGGAGTTACAGGGAAGAATGAGAAGTTTATCATCTGAAATGATTTCACGTTGTGCTTGTTGGTAAGCATTAAATAATTAGTAAAAATAAAATATTTATTTTCCCAGTACTTATCAATGTTTTGACCAATTTATGCAAAGAGTAAAGAAATCTTTGGATTGGATTTTACCCTCAGAAGTTTGTGTTATGGTTAACGTTGTTTTTGCCTCTAAAGCTAGAGCTGCTAAATTAAATGGGGGTGAACATGCTCTTTTTGCATTAGACGATACTCTTGATACAATGTTGGCAGATATGGGGACAATAATTGAAGAAAAATTGCTTTCAATTCTTGAATTTACTCTTTCAAGATTGGCTAGATATGATGAGGTAATTAAAGGAGAGAAAATTGAAATTTTCTTATGGATGTTTCAAACTAATAATTTAGGGTAATCCAATTGGTGCATTATTGTCAATGGCCCCAAAACCAAATACAATATTTAATAAAATGAGAAATTTGGTTGGAGAAGGTTCTTCCCCAACTAATCAACCACAACAACATTCACTTCCCTTAAATCAACAAAATTTAAATCAAAATAATTCTGCTGGGGGTGCTTCCTCTGCACATTTGGGGCAATCTTATGTACATTTTATGCGTGGATCTTCTGAACAAATTCAACAAGTAGTTGCTGATGAAGTTTGGGTTAATAGATTATTACAGGTATTTTTTGGGGGCAAATAAATTTAATTTTGAATAAATTACATAATTCTTCTATTGTTTAATGTAATTACCTAAATAGTCTAAGTTGTATCCAGAATTCGAAATTTCGGGGACTATAATTGGATGTTCAGACAAATTTTTGGTTTTCAGATGCCACGATTTTTTGATAATTTCCTTTCACTTTTTTCCCCGTTTCAGAGGTTAACTTTTATGCTCGCTTTCAAATAACCAGAATTTATATCAATTTATATGTCATTTTCTTAAATCCTTTTCGGTACATCCCTGACATATTATCAATAAGTGTTAGGTATCCGGCTGAACCGAGAGGTCGGAGTGAAGCCACAAAGCTCTTCTCAATTTAATTTCACAAATAGAAATTTAATACATTTTTTAGGAATGGTATGCCGGGCAAATGCGAATGTTAAATGAATGGTTAACAGAAAGACTTCAACAATCATTATCTCCCTATCAATTAACATGCCTCTCCTTCATGTTTAAAGTTTTTAAATTAAAAATAAACTTTTTTAATAATTTATATTTTTTCTTAGAAAATTTACTCAGATTTTGAATTACATGGAATAGATGAAGAACAATTAAATAGTAAAATATATCAATCAGTCCAACGTCGCCTTCAATTAGAAGAAACAAATTCAGCTTTAAATGAATCTTCTAATCGAATCCACCACTCTTCTGGACCTGGAAGGGGGGCACTTGGAGGGTTTACAAATCAATTGGGACAGTCTGCTTTGTTTGTTTTTTTAATTACTCAATCAGTAAACAATAATTATATATTTTAATATAGATTAAGTAGTTCAGCTGCTTCCCAAGCTGTTTCAATGGTGGAAGGTGCTAGTGCTAAATTGTTTACAATGTTTAAATAATTTTAAAAGAAATATTTTTATTTTTAAAGATTATTTTATATATTTTTAACAACTTTTTTTCTCCCTCATTTAATATTAGTCATTTAAATTAATAATATTTTATGAAAATATAAAAATAATTCTAATTTTATTATTTATAATTCTTTTAAAAATTAAAATATATTAACGTTAACTAAAGTCAGATTTATTGTGTTTGTTTATAACATTTGAGTTTATTTATAGTTAAATCAAAAAATATATATATGTATGTTAGTCAAATATCTATACCTATAAGTTCACCCTCCAAGTTAATGTAAGTTTTGACACGAAAAAGGGTAACGTGGGAGAGGAGCCGTTATGGAGATTTTGCATTATCTTTTCGCAATGTAATTAATAATAAATTTAAAAAACTTAAAAAGATTCCTCATATTAGGATTCGATCCAAGCCCCCCCCCCTCAGTAGTCACATAATTGAAGCCAATTTTAAAAATCTAAAGAAAAACATTTATTTTCAAAAAATCTATTTAATACAATTAAAAAAATTAATTTTTATTTTCTATAATCTATAATTTAAAATCTTTTCAAACCCCAATATCTTTACGTCCAGGTCCTGTCCATCCTTGTACCTTTGGCCGAGTTGTCGAATAAGGAACATATTTCTTGCTTCTGTAAAATTTTAACTTTTAATAGAATGAATTATTTATAAAATAATTCAAGGTAAAAAATCTTTTTTTGAAGATTAAGATTTTTAATTAAGAAATATATGGGAAGGTTGCGAGGTGTCCGAGCTGCGTTTCGAAGCAGGCTAACACTAATAGTAAGTCATTCGAAAAATGGGAGGTATCTAAAATTGAGGATATCGCTTAGGCAGCTCCTCCATCCAATAGCCAAACAAATCATAAAAACGTATATAAAATTGATAATGTTTTAAGGATACGTAAACTGGAGGTCTGACCGAATTTTCAAAAATTTTATTTTAGTTAAAAAATATTAAAAAAACAAACAATTCAACGCTTAAATTCTCCTGATGTTCCAATTGCCATTTTGGATTAGATAATTTCTCAATAGTTGGTGGTTTATCCTAAAATTTAAATTTTAAATAAAATTTAAAATAATTTAAAAAAATACACAAATATGATGAATCCATCTATGCCATTCTGGAGGGATTTGTGAACCATCATATTCCAACCATTTCTTTTCTGTATAAATTACCCAACGATTGCGAGGCATAAATTGTGAATTGTCCTTAAAACGTTAGAAGTTATTGTAAAAGAAAAAAATGTAAAAAAGGTATGCCTAAACTAGTGATCGAGATTTTTGAAAAGCCTGGAGGCCTGTTCCTGGGTTTGATTTATTGACATTGGCCGGATCCTGAGCCTGTAGTCTAAGAAAAACCCCAAGACCAGGAAAAACCCAGGAAGGTCAAAAATTGACTGGGCCTGGGCTCTGGGTCAAAAAGAACCCAGGCCTTGGTCCAGACTCAGCTCGATCATTACCTGAAACCAAAATTTCTTAAATGTCATAAATATAATCCTTAAAAATTAGAAAAATTCGAATAACCAAGTAAAACAAAAACCTCAAAATATCTATTTCCAAATTGGTCTTCTCCAACAAAATTTCCTTTTTTCAAATCATCAGTCCTTAAAAATTAAAATATTTACTATTAAAAATTAAAAAAAAATAAACTTACAAATACATCTGCTTAAAAGCAGCCTTAAACCCTCCAACTTGTTTTAAAGTATCACGGAATTTTCCAAGCCTATCAAGCATAAAATATTCTTTCAATGAAGGCATTTTTATTTTTTTATTAACTCTTTAAAAATAAAATTATTTTTAACAAAATTAAAAACAAAAAAGTTCGAATGAGAGAGAATGATAAAAGAAAATAGAGAAATAAAGATTTATAAAAATACATAATGCCAGAAAAAATAAAATTGTTAAATATTTAAAAATATTTTTTAAAATTTAAATAATACGGTAATATCCACTTCAAGTTTTAATTTTAGACAATACATATAAGAATTATGAATCAGAAATAAAATTTGGTTCAAATTTTAATTTTAACCTAGTGAAAAATATGTTTTTATTTAAATATTTTAAATTAAAAACAAATCAAAATTAAATACAAAATATATTTTTATTTTCTAAATAATTAAACTAAATTTAATAGAAATATATTTTTATTTTATTTTTCTAAGCAATTGCTGGATATCCATCTAACATATCTAAAGCAACTAAAATTTAAATTAATTTATTTAATTTTAATAAATAACTACTTGGATTATAATCTAAAAATCTCTCATATTGTTGGTGATTTAAATCAAAATCTGTCATTTCTATCGAAGAATAAGAAAATGAAGGGGGTTGAAGTGCAAACCAGCGGGGAGTTCCGCTAAAAACAATTGAAGTATCTAAAAAAGATTTTCTTTTAGAAATAATTTTTAAATTAAAAACTACCTCCAAGACTAACCAAACATTGACCTAAAGGCTGATTTTCGCTTCTTCTATCCCTATCATAATTATAAACGGTAAACTCTAGGAAATGACTAGCAAGTCTGTCTACACTAATTGAATATTCTAATAATTGATCCCAAATTGGATTTGAATTTTTTGGTTGATATTTTGTTCGGCGTTTATTTGAAACTCTTTTTAAAAATATTTTAATTTAAAGGAAAAAATTCTTTTTAATTTTACTTTCTGCCTGGAAGTAAATATATTTTAACATAAGCATTTGGAGGTATTCCCCCTTCTCTACAAGGCAAAGCTCTAGCTGCCAAAACATAAACTTGAAGTAATTCTTCTTGGGGAGTATATGCAAGTGCTAATTGTAAATAACCGTGAGAACCATTTAATCTGGCACTCTAAATTTATTTTTAATTAATTAATTAATCAAAAATTTGATACTTTTCCATTAGTATTAAATGGATATTCTTTTAAATCATTAATCGAATATTCTTTATTATTTAAATTTTGTTGTGGTAAACTAGATTTCCTTTCATTCTCCTCCTCATCACTAATGCTATTGCTGCTTTGGTGTGCAGGAACGGGTGGGGGTTCATTGGGAGAATGCCAACATGAAGAATCAACTAAATAAAAGGATCATCATATTAACAAATTTTATTAGAAGAATAACTAACATTCTTGTTTATTTTTAAGTCGAGAATTAGCAAAAGCAATTTTAACATCTCTCCCTATTTTTCCCCCACTTCCCTTCTTCTCTTCACATCCATTTAAATAATCATCACAATTATTAATCCTTTTTTGCCCATTTTTACAAGAGACAATCATTTCAATTTCTCCAGTTCCCGCCTGAATAATTCTTTCAACTTCTTCATAAGTCTTTCCACTTAATAAAACACCATTCCATTCAAGAACCTTTTAAAATAAATTTTTTGGAAAAATTATTTTTCAGAAGCAAACTTGATCTCCTTCAACTAATTCCCCTAACATTTCTTGAGCACAACTTTTGTCAACAGAACTAATAAAAGCACCCAAATCACCATTTGGCATTCTTTTCCCCCCAACGACTCGAATACCCAAATCTTTAAAAAATTTAAAAATTAATCTTTAAAAGATAATTTTTACCTTTAAAAACATTATCATATTTATATTTTCTAGTTAATAATAAACGTTTAATTTTTGATGAACGTTTTGTTATTTTTTGTGTAGAATAATTGTTGTTATTTTTATTTGTAGGGAAAATATTTTTTTCTGTTTAGAATAAAATAATTGAAAGAAAAAATTATAAAAAAATAATTTTATATTAATTTTGTTATTTTATAAGAGCTCATCCAAATTAGAGAAAAGAGGAATAAAAATATTTTTTTAAATATCATGATCAGATAAAAGAAATAGAAATTTATTTGAAGATATTTGTAGTCTTAAAATGCCGATTCAAAAAAGAAATTAAAATGATATTTCAACACTCATAAAAAACAGTCAAAAAAGTGTAAATAAATATTAGATTAAAAATCAAAATTAACAATATTTAAAAAACACAGATAAATTAATCGTGCAATCCTGGTGTAGGCTAAAACACACCTGAGCCGATTATCAAGTAGAGCTACATTTAGAGAGATGAACTTGCGGGATTCTCCTGCATATGCATTTATAACAAAACTTACTTTATTTCATGTAAACAGCAGCTGACTGATAAATGAGAGAAACAATTTGCTTATCATTCTTCTTATTTGTGTCAATTTTATAAAATAATAATTAATCTTTTTTATCAACTTAATATTTTTAAACCAATTTTAATCAATCAAATCTCTTAAAATAAGTACAATTCTTTTCAAATCAACACATAAATTTAAATTAAAAAATCTCAAATACAAGAAAATTTATTTTATTTAATGAATGATAAAATAATACAAGTGAATAAATTTTTAAAAATGATTTATGAAAATAAAAATATTGTTACTCGGGTTATATGTATAAAGAAAATGTGAAAAGACTTGAACATTTATTATTCAATTTTAAAGAATAAATTTGGATGAGCTCTTATATTTAATATCTTTTAAATTCAGAAAATCCATCAATTTTAATTTTATCAATTGTCTGCTATCTACCTGTTGTCATTTTATTAATTTCCCTAATATTTTGTGGCCATTCATTTGATAATTCATTTGGCCAACTTTCATCAGCACTGCGCAAAGGAGGTTGCCTTTTTCTTAAAATACTTGGAGGTAAACTACGACTTTGATGTTGTTGATGGTGTTTATTAAAAGGTTGTGAAAGTGAAGAAGATGGAAATTGTTGTTGGGTATATTGTTGAGTTTGTGGGATTCTATAATTTGGCGGCATTATTCTGTTTGACATTAAATCATTATTCAGCCAATTTGTGCTAAACTGTTGCTGCTGTTGTTGTGGTTGCAGTACTTGTTGATGTGAAGGGTATCCACTATAGTAACTATTATCTACTCCATAAGGTTGGCGATAAGAAAAAGGTTGTTCTCGCCAACCAAAATTTCCATATTCTGGTGTAGGTGGAGGCCTTGCTCCATAATTAGTCTCATTTCTGCTATAAACAAAAGGTTGTTGTTGTTGATCATCATATGCAAATCCTGAAGGGATTTGCCATAAATTTGGTTTACGTTGATGATATTGTTGTTGAGTATCAGGGAAGTATTGCATTTGTCGTTGAACATCAAAATAGTCATTATATGGAGGTAGGTTGTCTCTATATCCGGGAATTCCAGCATAATCTTGGCCACCTTTTGAAGAATTTCATTATTATGTGAAAATCTATCCCATTTATTGTTAATGCAAAATCAAGAGATTTTCTATATATAGAGAATGGGAAACGAAGGAAAAATATCAGAAATAAAAACTAGTATTATAAAATCAGAAATTAATAACGATTTTGCAATAACAAAAATGCAATTTTTGATTATTTTAGTAGTACCAAAAGGTCGTTGTAAAGGTTGTTGTCGTTCTCTTTCCCTCTCATCAGCTATTCTCTGTTGTCGTTGCTGTTCAATGAAACGATTATTCAAAAAGTTGGCATATTCTGATAATAATTCGTTTGGAGCTGGAGATTTTCGAATATGTGAAAAGTTTCCATCAATAAATTGACTGGTAGATGGTTGAATATCAAGAAAATCTGTTTGTTTTTTTGGAGGTCTTTGAAAACCGCTCATTTGAAAATCATCAACAAACGAGTGATTCAATTGGTTTAGTGAACGACTTGGTTGCCAATAGGGAGGTCTTTGTTGTCTTCCAATATTTTGCATAGCATCAAATTGACTATCAGGTCGTTGGCCGTAAAGTTGTTCTCTTCCAAAACTGTCAGAAAACTCTCCAGGATAATTATTGGAACTATCAAGATCTTGAAGAGAATAGGAACCATAAACTGAAGACGGTTGTTGTTGTTGTAGTAAATATTGTTTTTGCAATTGTTGTTGTTCTTTTGGAGCAAATGAGGAAGTCAATCGTCGCTCATAATCTCTCGGTAATGAACCATAAGTGTATCGAGAACGATCATGAAGGGGACGCTGATAAGAAGGCATTGATAAAAGACCTCCATTTTCTGGCCAGCCTCTAGGCAAAGAGTTGGTGCTGTTAAACGAAGGTTGGAATTGTTGTTGAGGAAAAGGCTGAGAAGCCGGGTGCGAAGGAAATTTAGGTATAAATTCTTGTTGATATTGAGGCCAGTATCTTTGTTTGGTTGTCGTTAAATCGTTGTAACGTAGATCGCCTAGCGAATTGAAGTATTGTTTTCTTCGTTGTTCTAACTCAGCACGTACACAACGTTCTTTCCGACCTCTTTCGCTTTGGGTGTCGGAATCTGTCAGATGGAAACGGCCAAGCCTATTATTTTCTCTATATCGTTGCCAAGGATGATAAGGGTGAGAACGTTGTTGAGACAAGTCAATACTTGTGGAAGATAAGTAACGCCGAGATGAGGGATCATCTGACATTGGTTGTTGTAGTTTATGGGCACCAGAGTAGGGTGGAGGCCAGACCCTTAATAATAATTGTCTAATAAATAAGGAAATCAAAAGAAGGGGGTATTTTGTAAATTCAAGGAACAAAGAGAGAAAATTAGAATACCGGCGAAGTTTTTCCTCAGATGTCCACATCCGTTCCTGTCCAGATAAGCCATTAACAGCATCATCAATTTCTACAGATGGATCTGTTTGGGTTTCGGCACAGAGAGCGGTCTGGGTACAAGCATCTCTGGCATCAATTGGTCTTTTTATCATTTGTTGTTGTAATCTTTTATTAATTTCTTCTCGTTTTGTATTTGATCCATAATCTTTTGGAAGAAATTTCTTATGAGTTTGATTAGGTAATGTAGTAGTTGAAAAAATTGGAAGTGAAGGTGAGTCCTCAACATTAGCTTGGCATGCAACTGAATGAGCAATACCTATCCTTTGATGTTGTTCTGATGTTGAAGGTAAACCATAATGAGGAATGGCAGTTTTTTGATGTGTTTTTAATGTTGAAGGAACAACTCTAGCACCAGCAATTAAATCTTTAGGTAGAGAACATTTTACAACGTTTGGTATTGAATCTAGTTCAGATGGACGAATAGGCAATGAAGATGCACCAGTAGAAGAAAGTAACAAATCACCACCATTTCGCAACCAACGGTCAATAAGGTATTGTCTATGGCGAGCTTCAATCTCACAAGTATCTAATTCTTCGCGTCTTTTCGTCAATGCTTCTCTCAATTCTTTTTTAAACATTAATTGGCAAATTGTTTCTTGGGTGGCTCGTTGTTCAGCATTGTTGATAATAGTTTTTTGTTGTTTTTGAGCAACCTTTGTCGTTGTTGCAGTATTTTTCCAGGGAGATGATGAAAGTGAAGAGGATAGTAAAGGTTTAACAGATTTAAGAATGGAAGATGAAGGAGATGTTGATGCAGAAGATGTAGGAATATTTAGAGGTTGCATTAACAAAGAGCCTAATGATCTTGAATAACTCGATTGTTTCTTTTGAAATTTTGGAGATACTTCGTCTTGAGATCGAAAAGTGGCTCCAGGAATGATTGAAGCTGTTAACGATAAATGGTCCAAAGTACTTCCTGGATAACTTCTTCCATAAATTTGTGCGGATTTATTTAATAAAGTTTGTTGATTTTGTTGAAGATCAATGAGAAGTGTTTCGTCTTTCTTTTGTTGAATTTCCGAAAAATAATCAGGTTCTTGGCCATTTGTACCAACAGCTGCATCGCACTTTTCGGGCGCATAAGAAGTATAGTAGGTTATTGGATGAGGTGTGGATGTGCTAGGTGTTGTTATGAAAGAAGAATGACGACGGTTAATAAGATTTAAATTGTCTTGGGATATTCCATCGAAAATGGCAGAGGATGATGTTTGAGGCGCTTGATAAGAAAGACTTGGGATAATTGGTTGTTGTCTTTGTTGTGCAGAGGTTGAAGCAAATGTAAGGCCTTGAAAATAATTTTGTTGAAGAATTTGTTGTTGGACAGCCGAAGATGGCAATGAAGGTAATCTTCGACGGCCCATCTCAGCACAAACAACCGGTAAAGGTGGATATTGGAATTGTTGAGCAGTAAAATTATTTGAAATTGAAGTTGTTGAAGTAATACCAGTTGTTGTTGGTGGTAGTTCTGGTTTTGAATAAATGGCAGTGGTGATTGTAGTGCTAAGAGGTTGGACACTTGCATCATCCTATAAGATTCGAGGATAATTTATGTGGATATTTAACTAAATTATAACCAGAAAGTATTACTAATCTAATTTAATGAGAAAAAATGATTTCCATTTCGATTAAATATTATAATGTAAACTACAAAGATTTACTTTAACGGGAAAACCGAGTTGCGAGAAAAATTCATTAAGAGAAATTTTAAATTGAATCTTACTATTATTTAATATTTTTTTTTGTTTAAGCTGTTGACTGTAAGTGCAACAATAAAATAATCCATTTAAAAAATAATCTCGATAATATGTATAGAATTAATAATTTGTTCTCCAAATAATGGAGAGAATTTAAAATAATTTTCTAAAATAGAAAAATAAATAATGTATTTTAAAAAATATTGATGAAATATTTTAGCATTTAAAATGAACGATAAAATAAAAATTTATTGTTAGACCTTCAATATTTAATGGAATTCCTTTATTACTAAAAAAATATTTTTATCGGCTTTTTATTTCTACATTAAAGTAAAAGTAAAAGCAAGAAAAAAAATAAAAAGAAGACAAAGGAAAAGCAAAATAAAAATGAGGAATGTTTGTAGTAGCTCTATTTGGTTTTACACCTCCCCTCTCTTCCCCCTTTTTTGGCATTGACGAGAAAAATGAGAAATGAACTGAAAAATATATAAAGTACTGCTAAGTATTGGATTGCCTACGAGAGTATACTTTTGCGTGCGTGTTTGATTGAGTGGAGGGAAGGCGAGAGAAGGATTGCCGCAGCGGGATTTGTTAAAAATTTAGAGTCTAATAAAAGCTATTTTTGCTTAATAATCACTAAAATACTCTAAAATGCTTGCAAATATAGACAGAAAAAGGACATAAATGGCCTAGACTAACATAAAGAAAATAACTAAAAAACCCTGCTTTCATTGCCTGGGGCAATGTTTCCGGTATTGGCGTGAAGAGTTGGCATCTGTAAATGAAGGAAGTGAGGCGAGTGAAAAGAATATATTTGTGAGGGTGGAGAAGTTGAAATGAAAAAAAGTATAAATAAATTGAGAGAATTTTTGTTAAAAATATATTTTTAGAATAAGATAAATCTCTAAATAAAGAAATACTAGAAAAATGAGTAAAATAATGTTAGAAAAATAGTAATTATATAATATATTTTTAAAATAAATTGGAGTTTAAGGGAATTAAAATTTAAATAGTCAATTATAAAATAAAAAATTATAGAGATAAATAAAAAAATAACATTGAAAGAAAAACTTTTTAATTCTGATAATTTTAGAAATTAATTAAGTTTAATCTCGCAACTCGATTATAATACATTTAATCATTAATTAAAACATTATTATTATAAAATTAAGTGAAATAAGGAAAAGAAAAATTTAAAAAGTTCAAACTTAAAGAAAATATTTAATTCAATAAAAATATAGTAGAATGTCTTGAGAAAATTCTAAGAAAATTTTAAAAAGTCTAAAAAATATACTACACGAAATATTAATTTTATTTAGACAATCACAAAACAAGAATCCACACACACACTTTAAAAAATCACCCACCGTCACAATCCTTTTATCTTCAACAGAAGAAGAGGAGGGCATAGAGAAAGTTGTAGCAGAAGTAGTGTCACTAGTGAAAGTTGTTAAATTCATTGCTGGTGAACGTTTAAGCCTTTTAATAAAATAAATTTTGAGAAATGTTTATTTAAATTAATTACCTAGGTGATTGAGGAGGAGCATTATCCTCTACTAATTCAACATTTTCACTAGTCTCTACCAATTTTATTTCTTCAATTAAATTATTATTTAATTCAGACTGATCTTTATTTTCAATTAAATGGGGAACAGAAGAAGGAATATTTTCCTTTTCGAAATCTTTTATTTCATTTTGTGTAGTTGATGGGGGTTGTGGGGCAGTTCGGATTGGAGTTATTATTGGTATTTGTTGTTCTGAAGATTTGGATTTTGAACTGAAAAATAAAAAATAAAACTATTAAAAAGTTAAATTGTTTGGAATTATCTTTTTGAAAACAAATAAGCATCATACTTTTGATTTAAGCGATAAAATATTTTTGAATATTTCGTATAAAATAAAATCTCACCGAGAACGCCTTCTGGCACTGTCAGCTGCCATTTCAGGCGAAATTAAAGTTGGCAAAACATCAGAATGTAAAGGCTTCCTTTCTATCCTCTCTGCATGATATATTCCTTCACGATCACCCGGACCTTCTGCCTCGGCAGGACTTTCAGTAATTGTATAAACAGGACCTGGACGGTGGGCAAAATAAATTTGATGATCAAATTGAGACGAAGAAAAATCTGTTCTATTTGAATTTGTCTCTCGATCATCAGATTCCAAACGCTAAAAAGGAAAAAAATAAAAATTAATTTATATTTATTTTTAAATAAAAAATAAAAAAAGATATTAATCGAGGAAATAAAAAGATAATAAATAAAGATTAGAAGTATGGATAATAACAAAAAAATAATTTTATATTTTGCGAATGCTTTTCATGTTCCTTGGAAACAAGATTTTAAAATTAATAATTATTGTGGGTATATAAAATGGATCTTCAAAAAATTATTCGTTAGTTAGTTAATCATTTCTTTTAAATCATTTATGTAATTATTAAAAGAAATTTTAAATGGCTTTATAATATTAAAAAAATAAAAATCCTTCTGTTAAAATTAAAAAATAATTTTTAAAGAAATTTTTAGAATGAAATTAATAATATTTAATTTTTTTGCAACAATATTAATATTAAAAGCATTATTAATAAATGGACAATTCCCAAGATGGGGTTTGTAAAATTAAAAAAATAAATTAAGTATATAAATTTTAAAAAACAGAAGAGAGAACTCTGGATTGTAGTAGCCGTGAAGGTGATTGTATTTTAATAGCTCCAAATGCTAAAGTAAAGAGAGATCCTAATCGTTATAAATGCCGGAGAGAGCCAATGCCCCAAACAGATTGGAATTTATTGGCGAGAAATTCAAAAAGTTAGTTTAATAAAAATTAATTAAATATTTAAATTTAAAGCTCGAATTGCTTGCCCAATTGGTTGTGAGCAAGATGCAGATCTTTCAGTAAGAGTTGAGAGAATAAAATGGGGATGGGGATAAAGTGATGGAGAATTGAATGGAGATATAAGAAAATAAAAAAGGGATAGAAATGGGGCTGGGGAGCAAAGGTGGGTCTGAAATCCGATTTCCGAAAATTTAGGCTGATTTCCGAGTTCCGACACCTTCGTCATTTCCGACTCGCCTCGGTGGGGAGATAGAAAAATAATAATATAGATGAAAAAATAATATTATTTTAAGGTAATACAGAAAAAGCCTATTGATAACAAAAATTGTCAAAAATATTACACGTTCGTAATTATTTTTATTAATTTACTTATAAATCTAGAAAGTAAAAATTATTTTAAAGTTATGGGAAATATCGTGACCAAAAGGAAGGAGAATGGTATTTATGGTTAACAGAACCTTGTGTAGCAAAGTTAGTTTTTAAAATATTTTCCAAAAAATTTTTTCTTAGATTAACAACCCATTGTCGTTTTAATGATATCCCTTATCATCAGAATACTACAACAAATAATATAGATGCGGAAAGTGCTCTAAAAATTGCAGAAAAGGAACAACGCCGCGGGAGAAAGTTGAAGAAAGTTGCTTGAACAGAGAAAAGTTAATAAAATTTAAGAGTAATTAGAAGAATAGGAAATAATTAAATTATTAAGTAAAAAATAAGAGAAGAATTTTAAATTATTTTTTAAATTAGTATTGACTAGTTTGTATATTTAGAATAATTAAAAAAATTTTCATTTATAAATCAATTTACTACTAAATTCCAAACCAACCTCCTGTCTAACAATAACCTCCTCCCCTTCATCTTCCTCCTCCTCTTGTTCCCCATCTTCTTCTCCAGAATGTAATAATTCTTCTTCATTAACAGCAACAGCTTCAACCAGAAAAGGATTTGTTCTTTGTCTATATAAAATTGTTGAAGGCGGCGGAAGAGGAGGTTTTTGTTGAATAAAAGATTTTGTTTCTGTTGTTTGTTTTGATATTAATTCTGTTGGAGAATAAACATTTGCTGGATCCTCCATAAAAAAAATATCTTCTAATTGGTTAATATTTGAAGAATCTTTTGGTAAAATCTGTAAAGACAATAAATTATTTTTAAATTATTTTTGTTCTTCCAGCCTTTAATTGTTGTGCAGGTTTTGCCCATTTAACATCAAATTCATCATCTGCAGCCTCCCCAAAAGATTGTATTTGTTGGAGAACTTCGGCAGCCAATTTTTGTTTTTCAGTTTCATTTTCTTCTTGAAATGCGGCGATTGAGGCTGGGGAAATTGTTGGGGCCTTGATGACCTGTTAAAAAGAAAAAGTTGGTTGAAAAATGGTTAAGAAAAGTAAATTACAGGGGAACTCAATTTTAGATACCCCCAAAATTAGTTTTTTTTTAATTTAAGATATAATTTAGCGGATTCCAATTAGTAAATACTTCTTGTTTAAAAATACTCATTATACATAAAGACAGATCTTCCAGTCAATAGAGGTTATCCTAAAAGTGAGGTTCGGTTACCTGATCAGGATAATCATCTTCATCTCCTTCTTCTGAACTAGAACTTCCAGGCCTTGGTTGAGAATAAACACGACTTCTTTTTACATGACTACTAACTATTTCTCCACCTCCATCCTCCCCCTCTTCTTCAGATTCTTCCTCCGTCGGTGTTTTTTCTTCAGTAACAGTAATTGTTGGAGGAGGGTGAATTTGTTGCGGTCTTTGTTGTTGGGTAAAAGAGGAAATTGATTTAGAAGAGGGATTAAAGGTGGGGGATGTAGGGGACCAAGGATCTTCCATTTCAACCTTGAAAGTGATAGGGATTTAAAAAACTTTAAGCAAAAATATATATTTATTTTCACCTCAAAATACCCACCACCACTATCACTTTTTTGGAGTCTTTTATCACCAATATCAGCCAACTGTACAGTATCTTCATCCTCTGTCATTTCTTGTCCTTCTGTTTTAGGAACAAAACTGCTAGTATAAATACTTCTAGCAATAGCTGCCATTTCCTCTTCAACCTCAGCAACTGTAGACATTGGAGATTTCTATATTGAATAATTGAGCATATCTAATTTATAATTTTTTAATATCTCCAATATAAATATGTTCTAAAATTTGTCCTCTTATTTCAGAACATCCAAAGCTTCCTAGCAGAAGCTCCAAAATATCCCATTCTCAAAGCTGACTTTTGAGGTGACTATGAGGAGAGATTCTCTAATAAATTAGAAATAATTAACCCCCAAATTACCTCTTGTTGATCAGCAAATTGTTGTTTAGACAATTCTTCTTTAAAATGAAGAATTGCTTCAGCATTTTTTGGCGCTGTCTCCCAACAACCCCTAACAGTATCCACACTAATTTCATCTTCACCAATAATTTCCACTTCATCGTTAATTTCCAGTTCACTACTTTTTTTCATTTCTTCATTAACATTATCAATAAACTCCTCTGTAAAGTCTGTAGTCCAAAGCTTCTTAGCAGAAGAATTAACAACAACATTTTCCCAAGCTTCTGGTGGAGCCTAAAAATAAATTAATTGCTTAAATATTTTAATTTATTTAATTAACAATAAATTCTTGTCGTGGAGGTTGCATCCAAAGATCTTCCTCTTCCTCTTCCTCTTTCTCATCATCTTCAATTTGACTAATTTTTGGTGGTGTCTCTGAAGAAGGCAAATCATTAATTTGTTGATGTAAAGTTGTTGGAGAGGGTAATATTGGCTGTCCATATTTTGACAAATCCTTTAAAAAATTTTGGATGATTTTTTAAAAATATTTTGGAAGAAAATTAATTAAATTTTGTTAAATTTCAATTAAAATCTCACTTCTAAAAATGAAAGGGAAGGTTGTAAAGTTGTATTAACATCAACAATCTCTTCAATTTTATTTTCCCATTCAGGTTGCCTTTTAGCTAAATCTTCCTCCTTTTCTTTCAATTTTAATATATCAATAGACTTTTGTCTTTCCTCTTCAATTCTTTCATGTTCTTCTGCAGCCCTCATTACTTCCAAAATTTTATTTTGTTCTTCAAGAGAAAGACCGCTCATATCTGGAGAGGGAAGCTTTTGCTTGTCTTCACTTCTCTTTTCTTCTTCTCTCCTTAGTTCCTCTCTCCTTTGTTCTTCTTTTCTCTCTTCTTCTCTCCTTTCTTCTTCTCTTCTCAATTCTTCCATTCTTTCTTCTTCTCTCTTCCGTTCTTCTCTTCTCTGTTCTTCCTCCCTTCTTTGTTCTTCTTCTCTTCTTTGCTGTTCCTCTCTTCTTTCCTTTACTTTCTTCTGTTCTTCTTTCACTTCAAAAATACTTCCTCTTCTTGTCATTTCTTCATCCAATTGCGCACATTGCATAACAGCAATAAGCTTTAACTGTTCTTCCTCTGACAGCAATTCGGCACCAGGCGGAAGTTCAATAGCATTATTATCTATTTGAGCAAGTGATAAAGATCGACTTGATGTTGATGGTTGTGATAAATCCTCTTCTGTAGTTAGAAAACCTAATGAAGAATGTGGTCGTTTACTAGGCGAAGAGGTGGTTGTAGAAGAAGATGTCTGCTTAGAAGTCTTAAATTAATTTTTATAAATTTTAATTATTAACAATTGGACAGAAAATAAATGTATGGAAAATCTGAAATTCTGAAATTGAAATTTTTCTGAAATTTCTGAAAAAAAATCTGAAATTCATACAAACATATAAACATAAAGGATTTTTTATTGATAAAATTAATTTTAAAAAAGCACTTACAGCCTCAGCCATAGCCTGATTAGCTTTCTCCACAGCACTCGCTGCTTTAGCACTTAACTGTTCACCCGCTGCTTGCATTGCATCCTTCAACTTTCCCGTTGTTAATTTACTGAATTTTCCCCCAAACATATTACTAAAACCGCTACTAGTTGAAGAAGTTTTTTGACCAAACATTGAGCCAAACGAGGAATTTGATGTATTAAAATTTGAGGGTGGTGGAGGTACGGGGATGGAAGGAGAAGTATTTGTAGTTGATTTTTGTGAAGAATCGAGTTTGCTTTGAGTTGTAATTAATGGGACTGAAATTTAAAAATATTTAATTAAATTATAATGAACAATTAATTGTTAACAAACAAATAATACAACCATACTTGGGGACTCGGGAAAATCAGCTAGTAAAGGGCCACTGATTGGTGTTGGCACTCGGTGAATGGTGGAAATATTAAATTGTTGTTCATCATTTTTGAGTAATTTTACATTATTTACCTCAAAATCTTTATTTTCTGTAAGGCCATAACTAAAAAATAAATTAATAATTTACAGCTAATTATTTATTTAGAAATTAATTAATAATTAAACTTCCAAAATAAAATAAAAGTTTAAACAAAAAATCTAAAAAAAAGTAAAGGCGTTAGCTAAAAGTCTGAAATTGGAAAAATGGACAATGTGCGCGTTATTCCCTTGGGGAATTACTCAATGGTTGTTTTGGGTAATGGAAAGGGGGCCCTATTTGTTTGGAAAGAAAAAAATAAAAAAAAATAAAGGGGAAAAGGAAAAGCTCCTTTGGTATTGACTATATTATACACAAAAATAATATAAATATTTTTGGCCATTTATTTTTAAATATTTACTTTAAAGTTTTTTTATAAGTAAATACTCGCCTAAAATATTTTTGGCTTTCTTCTTCTATTTTTTCTTCTTCTAAAACGTTTATTCTTTCATTAAAGTCTTTTGCTTCTACTTTTTGTTGTTTTTTCTCTAAATATTGGCTTCCAATTAGTTCCGCCAAAATTTGTTTTTGTTGCCTTTCATCCAACAAAATATTACTACCAAAATTATCGTCTTTTTCGATAATGCGTGGGAAGATTGAAGAAGCTGCCGGGTCAATGAAAGAGGGCGGAAAAGTAAATTCTGTAGTTAAATTTGGTTCTATAGGCAACTCATCTGACGTGGGAAAATACGAAATTCGAGAGGAAGTTAGGACAGAGGGCAATGGCTCTTGCTTGCTGCCAGCTTCTAACCTTTCTTGCTGGTCATATAAAGGCAAAGTTTCGATATTGGCAGCACTTTGTGTGGCCATTATATTTTCTATATTCTCTTCCATTTTGTCTAAACTTGCAGTATTTTGTAAATTGTTTTCTTCTCTCATAACGCTGTTTATGCTATCAACGGCTATATTTTTAATAAATATTTCTTCATCTTCATCTGTCCCATTCCCTTTTTCAGACTCTTCTCTTAAATATTCTTCATTTTCTTCCCCTCTAGTTTCACATTCTCGAGACAACCACTCTTGCCGGCTGTCAATAGCTGCCACTAACTCTTCTTTAGCTTCTCTTTCTCCTTCCACTAAATATTCCCTTTTTTCCGTCTCGTTACCTTCTTCTACCTCCAACCTATCTCTCCCATTATTGGCATTTTCCTCATCCATGCTTTTCATTTCCTCTCTCATTGTCCAGTCACTTGGCCCTTCCTGTAGCCCTCCTGTCTGTGTTTCCCAATAGTGTTGGGAATTCCACCGCTCTTGTCCACCTCGTATTTCGTCAAATAAAAATTTATTAAAGTCCGAAAAAGCTTTCTGCGGAGCAATTTCAGGCCAATCGATGTTGCTTTCCTGTCTGGCAGCAATTTCCACAACAAAATCATCGTTAGCACTTTCAATATCAAAAATATTTTCATTTCTATTAAATTCCTCTTTTCTTTCAAAACTTTTTTGCTCCATTAAATAACCCTCAAAATTCCTTTTTTGGTCCTCTAAATTTTGTTGCAATTGTTTTTCCTGACAAATTGACCATGAATCAACAAACAAATTTTCCTCTTTTTCTTCACTTTTTGTTGCAAAAGTACTAGCCAATTCTGTTTTTGTAATATTTGAAGTTTCAACAAAAAGAGGGTCTAAAAGGAAAGAAAAAATAAAGGAAATTTATTAGAAAATTTTAAATAAAAAATAATATTTTAAAATTATTATTAAATATTTTTGCTTCATTTACTCCCAAAACTAAATATAAATTACCTTCTTCTTCAAAAACTTTTTCTAAACATTCATCATTATTTTTATTTTGTTGTTGTTCTATATTATCATTATCATCATCAACAGACATTAAAGCAACATTCATACGTTCTAATTCATTTTTAAACCAACATATTTCATCAAGAACACGTTGAGATTCTTCCTTTTCTTCTTTATTTTCTTCTGTCTCGTTTGAATGATTAAATGAAGAAGTTAATGAATTATTTATTTGGTTTTGTTCAATGCTTTTACTTCTCCACATTATTGGTGGGGGTGGAGGTCGAGGGGGTGGATAAGAAGTTGATGATGTGCCAGAAAATTGGTTAAAACTGAAAAAAAAAGATTATTTTTTAAAATAAATATTTAATTATTTATTTATTTTTAAATTATTTTTAACAAAAAGAGAAGATTAATAAATATTTTAATATGATTAAATTGTTTAATTTGAAAAAAATCTTAAATTCCAACAATCTCTGAATAAGGGTAAAAAAGCATTTGAGAGGGTGGAGATGTAATTTAATTTTTAATTTTATCCATTAACCAATTTATTTAAAAAATAATTTAATTAAATAAAAAGAGAAGAGCAAGAGAATTTAAAGAGAATTTTAAATTAATTTAAATTAAAAATCACCGTAATATACTACTTTCCCCAACACATTCAATTCCACTTTGTTCACCTTCAGAATCACCAATTCCACTACTACTTCTACTATCAATAATATTCTGATTATTATTAGCCATTTCAAAAATTTCTTTTTCAGACTTTGTTTGATTATTTTGAAGCCAAAATTCTGGACAAAAAGGTGAAGAATTACTACTACTAGATTCTTTTTCTTTTATTATTTTTTTGTCTTCTAAAATTTCTTCTACTTCATTTATTTCTTTATTTTCTTCAACCAAAATTTCTTTTTTATTTTCTTTTAAAATTATTATTTCTTTATTTATTAATGATTTTTGATTATTTCTTTCTTTTAATTCTTCAAAATTATTTTCTAAACTTAAAGCTGCCAATTCTGTTACTCTTCGAATATGTTCTAATTCTTCTTCTGTTAATTCATGTTTTGGGGTCTCTTTTGATTTTTCTGTTAAAAGTATTTCAGTTAATGACTGATCTTCTATTTGGTTATCTTTATTTAATTCTTCATCATCAACATTACTAACTGTAAATGTATCTGATACTTTAGTTGCTAAACGTTGTGAAAATGATAAAAACCCTCCAAATCCAAATTTTGATGTTTTTAAATCTTCTTTTGTTTCTTTCTTAATTAGTTTCTTTAATAATTCTTCCTCTTCCTCCTCCTTTTTAAATTTATCTAAATAATCTTCAACTTCAATCACCTCCTCCTTCTCTTCATTTAATTCTTCATTCGAATCATTTACTTCTAATTCTTCATTCTCCCTATTCAATTCATCACCAAACAATTCTTCTACTATAAATTCATCACCCTTCATCATTTCCCCTTCATCCAACTTTTCCACTTGTTTTTCATTAAATTCTCCCATTGAAAGAGAGATTTCCATTTCTAAAGGATTTAGTTGCAAAGGTATTTGCTCCTCAACATTTATTTTTTGAATTAAATTTGTTCGTTGACGTGATTCAGCCATAACTTTAAAAATATGAGAACGCTCTTCTTCAGTTAATCCAGCCAGTGCTTCTTCTGGCAAATCAATGTTTGTGTCTTCTTCACACGTTGATGAGGAGCGGAAAAGGGCAGATTGATTTGCAATTATAGATGATTTTCTTTAAATTAATAAATTTTTGATTGGATTTAAATTAGAATTCTTAAAAGAACAATAATTAATTAATAATTACCAAAGATCGCCTAAACTTGAAATTCTTTTACCTCAACAATCCCATAAATGAAGATGTTTGTGTTGACTCTGCCCCCTTTCCATAAATTTCACTTGTATTTCTTTTGAGCCTCGGTTTATCAGAAGAAACAAAACTCTTCTTACGTCCCAAAAATGTTGAGGAAAGCATTGCAAGTGAATTAGCAAAAGTATTCCTCCTTTCCTTATTTCCATTGTTTATAGGTTCAACAAAGAATTCACTCATCATATTTTCTTTTGATTTCCTAAAATTTTAATAAAAAGGATTGAGATTTATTTTAAAAAGGCATTTTCACTCACCAATCATCATTTTCAACAGAATCTCCTATTTCTTCAATTAATTTTTCTTTTTCATTATTTTTCTTCTCTAATCCTTCCTCCTCTTCCTCCTCCTCCTCTTGCTCTTCTTCACATTCTTGTAGCAAATATTCTTTAAATTGATCATCAAAATAAACTGCTCTTGGATTTTTTCTAATAAGTTCAATTTCTTTAATATCTTTTACAGCTTCTTCGGCTATTTCTTCACTCAATCGTTGAGCATAAAAATCTAATTTAATCAAAAAATCAACATTATCAAATTTCTTTTTATTTTCCATCAAAATTTGTTCACTTCCTTCTTCTTCAACATTTTCTTTCACTCTTTCTTCCTTACTCTTCTCTTCTAGATATGATTCACAAAATGATTCTCTCAATTTTTGATCAGTAAAAACAATTTTTATTTTAGAAAATTTTTTCTTTTCTTTTTTATTTTCTTCAATTTTAATTCCCCCTTTTTCTTCTTCCTTTTCCAAACTTTGATCAGAAATACTTGTTGTTTTAGAAATAAATCGGCTTCCACCCAACATATTTGTGTAGTTAACCATTGTTTTTGGTATATAAGTTAATGATGATTGACGTGCACGTTTACCTGCCAAATAAACTTCATCAACAGCTTTAGAGCCATATTGAAGCGAACAACGGCCAACTGATTTTTGTTTGGGGATTTGGTATTTTAACAGAAATTCTTGGCCTTCAAATTCTTTTGGTAAATTTTTATTTATTCCAGAAGATTGAATTTCTATAGATTCAATATGTTCATTTTTAGAAAATATTGATGAACGTAATGAATCTGCTCCAGATGTTGGAGTGCTGCTAGTTAAGGACTTTGGGGATTCTGATTTTTCTTCTTCTTTTATTTCTTCCTTTTCTAAATTTATTTTTTCGTTGTCTTCATTAAATATTCTAGAGGAATTAATTGAATCTGCCTCAGATGTTGTTGTACTACTACTACTTGTATTTGATTTATTAAACTTCTCATTCAATTTCTCATTATCATTTTCCTTTAATTTAAATTCCTCTTCCTTAAATATTTCCTTAAATTCATCAAGTTGTGGTGCCGAAACTTTTCCAAATTGTGGAGGGGAATCCATCATTGAAAGAGCTTGATTTGTTGTATAAAGTTCAGCAAATGAATGTGTTGAATCAGCCCCAGATGTTGTACTACTTGATGAAGAATCGCTAAATTGAGGCTTATCAAATAATTTAGTAGATTGTTTAATTATTTTTGTTTCAATTCCATCAATTAATTTAATTATATTTTGCTCATCAATTTCATTTAAAGTATCGTCTTTAAATCCCTCCTCTTCATTCCTTTCTTCGATCATTTTATCTTCCTTCTCCATCATTCCTCCCAATTTAATATTCTCTATTTCCTCTCCAACAAACTCATTCCTTCCATTCTCGCTTTTCTCTTCAACAAATTCTTTTTCCAAATTTCCCATCCCCTCTTCAACAATTTCTTGTCCTGTAATCTCTTCATTTTGATTAAATTCAGAAAGTTCACTTCCATCAATTACTTTATTCCAATCAAAATAATCCAAATTATTATTGTCCTCTCCTATTTGATTTATCCCATCGGAATACTCTTGAGGAAAAATGTTCAAATCCAATTGTTCATCCAATTGTTTTTCTTCTTCCTCAACTACATTTATCTTCTCTTTAATCTGAGTAAAAACTTTAGTATCTTCACATATTTTTTGGGCAGTAAAATTCTCAATTCCAATATCCTCCTCACTTTCAATTTGTTCTGGTTGTTTATTGGAAATACTTGAAATTGTCAAAACTGTATCTGCATCTAAATTAAAAAAAAAGTAAAATAAATTTCAAAAACCGAACCAGATGTTGCCAATGTATTAACTGACATTTCACGGTTAATTTCATCAAAATTAGAATTTTCATTTTCTTTATTAATTAAATATTCTTGTAAATTTCCTTCTTCATTAGCGAGTTTTTCTATAGCAGCAATATGTTCTAATTCTTCTTTAGTTAATTGCAAATTATTATTTTTATTTGTTTCTTTTTCTTCTATATTTAAATTTTCAAAAGATTCTGATTCTTCTTTTTCAGGTAAATCTCCACTAAATGGTTCTCCTTTAAGAAAAAAAACTAAATTTTTTTTATTAATTTGTGGATTTTTTGCATTTTATTTAAAACACGATTTTTGTTGATTTTACAAAATGGATAGGGTTTCTGGTATAAAATTTGGATTCAAAATAAAAATTTTATACATTTATTTTTCTACACTGTTGCCAAATTTCATGGAAATATAAAAATTTGAAAAAAATTATGTTAGAAATTGGTGTGGATGAGGTTTTTATGGAATAGACTTTATTTTAAAGTAATTCTATTACCCTCCCATTTTGATGATACAGAAACGGAAGAATCAGCCAATGATGTTCTTCCGCTGGAGGTAGAAGGAGAAGAATGTGATGAGTGTTGTTTTTCTGCTTCGGATATGTCCTGAAAAATAATATATTTAAATTTATTTTCTTAAATGAAATTGATAATAATCTTTAGTAATTATAATTTATCTACCTTTTCTTTAAAACCCTCAATTTTTTCCTCTTTAAATTCTTCAATTTTTTCTTCTTCATATTTATTTATTTTTTCCTTCCTTTCCTCATCCTCCCCTTCATTTTCTTTAATATTTTCAATAATTTCATTGCTTTTCTTCATTTTTTGTTTTTCAATAATTTTTTCCATTATATTTTTTGCCCAAAAAGGAATTTCTGGTTTTTCATCAGAATCTAAAGTTAATTGCCTTATTTTACTCCATTCCCTTTGAACAGCAATTTCTTCTTGTTTTTCATGAATTTCTTGTTGATCAACAAAAAATGATGGATAAAATATTTTTTCTTTTTGTTTTATTGCAAATAATTCATTAATTTTTAATTTCTGTAATTTTTCTTCCTCTTCTTCATTAATTTCATCATTAACATTTTCCTCATCTTTTTGATTATTCCCTTCTTCCCCTCCTTCTTCCTCTACTCTTCCATTTAAATTATTTTCTTCCTCTACAGTCTCAGAAAATTGTTTTTCAAGACTTTTGTCATCTGCTCCAGAAGTTTCACTAGAAGATGAGGTTTTATGAGACGAAGGGCTTTGTTGAGGAGGTTTTGACTCCATTTTTGAATTTATTTCCTTTCCATTCCTTCCAGTAATATTTAAATTTACATCAAAAGAGCCACTTTCTTCAGCCAAACGAAGAACATTTTGAATATGTTCTAATTCTTCAAAAGTTAAACCAACAACTGTTTGGTCTTTATTTTGATCTATTGAAGGGTCAAAAATAGTTTCTTGAAAATTTTGAGGATTTTCTTCAATTTGAAAAAATTCTTTAGAATTTTGCTTGTCTTCTTCTAAAAATTCTTGCTTATTAAATTCTTTAGCTGCCAATAATTCTATTCTTCTAATATGTTCTTTTTCTTCAATTGTTAATTCATCTAATAGTATATTTTCATCTTTTTGTTTGTTATCTTGATTTTCTAATAAATTTATTTGTTTACTTTCTTCTTCAGTTAATTTATTTAAATCTTCATTAAATTGTTGAAAAGGAAATTTTGGAAATTTTAATTCTTCCTTTTCATCAGAAATTAATTTATTAGTTTCAGTTATTAAAGTATTCTCATTGTTTTTATTAAATTGTTGATCAGACTTATTCGTACCAATTTCCATAAATTCAATTTTACCCCCTTCCATTTCAGCTAATTTATTAATTCTTTCAATATGTTCAATTTCTTCTTTAGTTAAATTACCCTCAAAATTGGTAGAAGTTAAAGGTCCGCCCTCAATTTCCTCGTTTAATTTAACTTTAATTAATTCCTTAGAAGTGGCAGATGAAATGGAATTTAAAGAAGACAAAGAATCTGCAGAGGATGTTTTGCCAGAAGATATACTAGAACTATTATTTTTGTTTTCTTCTTCCAAATTTTTTTCAGAAGAAAGTAATAAACTATTATTGTCCGCCTCTGACGTTCTTCCAGAAGAAGGGGTTGAATTTTTTTTTTCATTTATTTTAATTTCTTCTCTTTCCTCTTTTGAAGAAGAAATGGGGGACTCTTCAATTTCAGATTTCATCTCTTCATTTACAAATTCTTCATTTTTTATCAGCTTATCATCATCTAATATTTTATTATCTTCATCTACACTTTCATTTAAAGAAATGTGTGTATCTGCACTGGATGTACTGCTTGAACTTCTCGTTAATGAATTATTTCTTCCTTTCCCTTCTTCAGTTTCAATTTTATTGTCATTATGTTTATTAATTTGTTCTTCTATTCTATCCTCCTCAATATTTCCAGAAATTTCAGTTTCTATATTTGATATATTGCTTAAAACCTTTTCCTTTTCTTGCCATTCATTTTCTTCAAAAATTTCTTCAGTTTGTTGTTTTAACATTAAATTAGGTAGTGGAGGTCGTGGTGGAGGGGAAGGTGGTTGTATTACAACAGAAACAACCTGATTTATATTAAATGGAATTAAATCCTCTTCTTTTTCTTTAAAAGAATCTTCTTCTTTTTCTTCTTCTTTTAAGGATAGTATATTGTCGTCTCCTTCATTTAATTGTTCTTTTGACTTTAAATTAAGAGAAGTATCAACGCTAGAAGATGAAGAAAAAGAATTTTCCAATGCATCCCCTTCTATTTGTTTTAATTCTGTTGGAAAAATGTTTGTCGTTTCATCAATTTCGTTTTCTTTAACTAAATGCTCAACTGAAATTTTCAAAAATTACTAAAATAATTTTAATGAAATTTTTAAGTATCAGATTTAATGAACTAATATTATTCTTTATTTTAGAAAATACAGTCGACTTTATCACAATAACTCCCAGCGTTTCATTTGCCCTCATTTTCTTTTGAAAATCTAAAACGTTTAAAGGCGTATCATGCAAACAAAATTTTAGACTTATTGTTAGACTAAAATTGTGATAAAGGAAATCCGGCTTTGTAAACAATTCTTAGTTACCGTAAGTGTCCTAATAAAAGCCCTGGGCTTCTATTTTTCAATACCCCTCATTGAGTGGGCTTCTAATTGGGCATGGGCTTCTATTTGAGATGGGCTTCTTTTAGGCATTATACTTTGTCCTATGAACCAATACTTAATTATTTTAATATTTAAATTACTTTTGTTATTGTCCATACTCCACAAATCATTTTCTCCGTCTTCAATAACAAATTCTTCTACTTTAGATGTTTCAACACAATTTTCAGTTCCTTCAGCAACTAATTGACTTAACCAATCAGTTAAATCATCTTCTTTATTTGTTTGCTGTTTTTGTTCAATTTCTTTTAATTCTTGTTTCTCTTCAAATATTAATTCTTTTTCTTTTATAAATTCTCCAATTATTTCCTCTTTTTCTTCTTTTTTTAATACAAAATTACATTCACATTCTTTCTGATTTTTAAATTCAAAAATATTTTCAGAAATTAAAGAAATACAAGGTAAATTCTTTTGGTTTTGTTTAATTTCCTCTTCTAAGTCATCAACACCTTTAAATGGAAGATGCCCTTCTTCTTCTTCTTTAATT